GGGAGATCAGAATAGGAATGAGACTTAGGCCATGTTTGGTAAAATAGTTAACTTATCAGTCAATTTTGACTTATTTGATCATCATTAGCTGTTTGACTTGGTTAAACAATCAATATGAATGTTTGATTAATTAGCTTTTTGTAATAACTTACTGCTCTAAAATGTTAAAATTCAAAAAGCTGCTCAAAGTAACTATTTCAATCAGCTTTTTGAGAAAGTCATTTGTATGTAATCAGCTAACAACTAATTTATCAAAAACTTTTCTACAATCAGTTAATGCTATCAACTCGTCAAACCTACTAGCCCAATCAACTAACAGTCATTTACCAAACACCCCTTAATAATTTTGCTAATATTATGTAATATTACTCTATTTAATTTAATTAAACAATTTTATGAATATGCATCATGATTCATGATGGTCATTATTTCTTCAATCCCTTCCTCTTCCATATTAATGTTATATGTTGTAGGTTATCACTTTGTATGTATATATAAAGACTTGATTAATAGAATGAATGGGGTTAACGAGTTCTTGAACTTTCTAGTTTTCCTTTATATTTACTTTTTCTCTCTTCTCTCTACTATGTTTTTGGCATACGATTACTATTGAATCATTCCGATAAATTGAGCTAATGAAGGCCAAAATTACAACAAACACAAATAAAATAAACAAGAAGAAGACAAGGATTTGAGTTTGAAATTAAAAATAATACTCCTACATTTGTTCTTATAAATTACAAAAATAATTTGTACAAAGAATATACTTGATTGATGGGGGAATGATGCATAAGTCCAGGGCAAACTTGGCCAGGAAGTGGATATCCGGGAGTTAATTGAGTTTAGATGATAATTGAAACGCATGGCATGAACAAGATTTTCGAGAGTTAAATATATTTATAAAAAATAAAAAAATAAAAAAAAAAAAGTTAGAGGTGTAAATTAGGTTGGGAAGTAGAGTTAAGGTGGCTGAGGTACAAATGTTGAAGGGATGGGGTCCAAAATGGAATAAGGACAAAAAGATTAGGGGTTAGGATGCAATATTAAAAAGATGGGGTTATAATGTAAGACATGGGCAGAAATCCAATGGGTTGGGATGCAAGTATTTTGGGTCCACATAGAGTCGTTATGTTGTGCATCTGTGTGCACTATGCATGGTGCATACGGATGCAAAAACGATGTTGTTTTGACGTCGATTTATAAAAAAAATCAGAATTGCATAACTATACATCCAGAATTGCATAACTATACATCTAGAATTGCATAACTACACATCCATAACTTCATTACTATATATCCAGAATTGCATAACTACACATCTATAACTTCATAACTATATATCCAGAATTGCATAACTTCATAACTATACATTCAGAATTGTATTACTACACATCCATAATTTCATAAGTATAAATTCAAAATTGCATAACTATACATTCAGAAATTATGCACAACATAATGTTGTTGACGAGAATCGAAACTAAATTTTTTTTTTAAAAGTTGGACTCACGTTTTTTTAGTCAAAACGACGTCGTTTTTGCATCTGTGTGCACCATGCACAGCATAATTTGTCGTCCACGTAGGACTAGGCTGGACCGCTGGAATAACGAGCTAAGAGTGAAAAAATAGGTGGGGTGGGGGTGCATTAGAGCCACGTCCAGAGATGTTATGTGCCCTGCAACATACCGTTAGAAACACTGAAAGCTAAACTTGGCCAAGAGTGGCGGCATCGTGGTTGTGCATTGTCAAAATATACAATAAAGTAGTGAGGGGGATTAGCTCGTTAGATACATGTTGAGACTCATCATGCGCCCCGGCCCGTGGATGCAGAGTAGTTAGACTTAGTCGTGCATGGCCCAGTTTGGATAAGAGTGGGGACAATGTGCCCATGCATGGCCAATGAAGGCAACAACGCGGTGGATGAGGTAATAATGAGGAGAGTTGCTACCTTATTAGGGTCGTTGGGTGCCTCACTGGCCACAACTTGAACGGACATAGCCAAGTGTGGCCGGGTAGGGTTGACAATGTCCTGGGTGTGGTTGAAAAGAAGAAGTAGCGGCAATGCTAGCCACGTGTATAATGAGGATGGCAAGGCGAAGGGAGGGGATATAGGCAATGCTTGGCTAACAAGTGTGTCGTGATGCATCTAAAAAATGCATCTCAAACTAGTATTTTTTATTGAATTATTTTTTTTTAAAGGAAAAGTTATAGCTTTAATATCATTCACCACAAATTGAAAAGGTACTAACGACCTAGCTAGCATCCAATTTATTTAATTATTGTACATGAATACTTGACAACTTAATTTCACGATGAGTTTGATCCAATAAATTATTCGAATATAATTTTAATAATATATCCTCTATCCCTTAATTTTAGGAGCAATTGTAGAGATTACAAATACCATCATATCTCTCCAATCTCTAATTTGGTAAGCCATCATTTCCTAAACTAAATACAAACTTTGTCTAATGATGCCCATTAAGAAATAACAATACAGAGTTCAAGTACTGAATATTATATCTTTAATAATATCTACCAAACATTTTTTCGAAATAATCAATAAAACATCATCCATCATTAATTAAATAATTTTGGCTTGGAATTATCAACCATATAATTCCTGTTCCCAATGGTAGGCTCATTTTGTAAGGTTATAAATTTATAATACCTTCCTGCCATGTTTTGTGTGTCTTGAATTGACTAGATAAGGTTGAAAAGAGCAAATACCAGTTTTAGTTTTATGAGTATTAGTAAAAATAATAGTTTTGATCTATATGTTTAATTCTTATCAATTTTCATCTATAAATATTGTTTTGGTATCAAATTTTATCCACGATTATTATTTTAGTGTTAAAATTCATCACGTCGGTTACCATCCGTTTAAGATATGCCGAAATCTAAAATTATAAACGATATTTTCATCTTTCTCAACTTAAGATCCCAATTTGAGCATGAATAAAGGAATTTAAGCCTTACGATCGTTCCCAATGCGCAGTTCTTCCCTCATCCTACCTTAATTTGAGGTGGAGAACTGTGAATTGAGATCGATCTTAGAGCTTAAATCTCTTTGTTCATACTCAATTGGGATACTAATTTGAAAATGATAAAAATACCCTGAATAATTTCATATTTCGGCATGTCTTAAACGAAGAGGTGACCGGCGTGATAAATTTTGACACTAAAACAACAGATGTGGATAAAAATTGATACTAAAACAATAGTCATGAATGAAAATTGATTGAAATTAAACATGTGAAGCAAAACTGTCATTTCGTTAATAATTGTGGGACCAAATTTGGTATTTACTCGGTTGAACAATATGGCTTTTACCAACAAATACTTTATATTTACATTTTAAAAAAGAAAACAATAAATGAAAGAAAAATACCAAAATACGGAAGTACTAAACTAAAACTGGTGACTGCCTGACTGGTGAGACAACATTGGGACTTACCAAATTTTGTAAAACCAGCAAAAAATACTTTAAAAAGAAAAACATCCTATTTTTAGCAATTCACGGTTCCGTAATATATGCATTTTCTTAACTACGGACTACGAGGTTGGCGATTAGTTAGTACGTAATCGCCATCAATAGGCGGCGCGTGATCACACGGTCCGGTAGCACCAGGAAGTCCCACCCACGACTCCTATAGAGCGCGTGGAAAAAGAGCCAACAAGGATCTATTTAATTCAATCATACTACGTTGCCTCTAACTCTTAGGTACCGAACCAATTACGACAGCGCACGTCATCAACTTTGACACGTCACCTTCAAGGGGTCCAACAATAGACACGTATCAGGTCCACTCTAAGAAATTAGTTAAACTTTAATGGGTGTAGAACTAAGTTAATAGATTCGACCGACTACCTTAAAATATTATTCTAACATAAGTGTGGGTTTTAATCTCATTGAAGACGTGGGAGGTTAACCGATCAAATGTAATGAAGATTCGTTTTGCGGAGTGTATAAACAGAGGTGAAAACTAGAGATTAATAGACAATTCGTGATTTATTTGAGTTTTTTGCACTTTTGGTCCCACGACTATAGTGACACTATCAGAATTGATCCACGACTTTCAGACCTTGCAATTTTAGTCCACGACTATTGTTTTTTTTTTGGCAAAAATGATCCTTCCGACCATTTTTCCGTCAAAATTCCACCGGAGTAAAATTTCTTCATTTTTAAGAGGGCTAAATTTGACATTTCCCTTAACAATTCTTCCTAGATAAAAAACAATTCTTTATTGCAAAATATGGCAGCAAACAATCAATAATACAATCCTCTTAAACATGTCAACTTTAGCCTTCTTAAAAATGAAGAAATTTTACTTCGGTGAAATTTTGACGGAAAAGTGGTCGGAAGGACCATTTTTGCCCAAAAAAAAACAATAGTTGTGGACTAAAATTGCAAGGTCTGAAAGTCGTGGATCAATTCTGATAGTGTCACTATAGTCGTGGGACCCAAAGTGCAACAAGTGACTCTTAGGCAGGAATTTTGGGGGTTCAGATTTAGAATTAGTTTAACGTAAACTGAAATGCTGCTGGAGTAAGACTTCCAAAGTGACCCTTGAACCATTGAACTAAGTTTCGCGAGGTTATCTGGAGACTCAAAACTCAACAAATTGATCAAATGTGACGATAACTCTTTATGTGCGAACTGTACAGACAAACCTTCTCAATAAACAAGAGTTTTGTGTCTTAAAATTAATCTAGCGTAAGTTATGATACCTAATGTGTGTGTGTGTATATATATATATATATATATATATATATATATATATATATATATATATATATATATATATATATATATATATATATATATGTATATATAAAAGCCCAGAGCGTAATTGGGGCATTGGCAGTGGTGTGTGGACATGCCCACGTGGCTAGTCATGTCATCATGGGACCACCATCATGGTTCGTTCATTGGCTCTCTGCCCAATTTGAGTTGCCAGCCACTCCTACTTATCCAAAATCTCCTCCGTCTCCCTCCCTCCCTCCCTCCCTCCTATTTATTCCGCCACATTCCCGCCGTCGCTCTCCGCCCATCTTTTCTGCACTTATATCAACCCCACATTTCCACTCTCTACACCCCCAAATGCTACACAGTAGTCTTAACAGAACCGCCATGGAAACCGGCAGTGGAGCCGCAGAGATGACCGTTCTTGAGCGCCACCAAGAAGAACACCAGCAGCAGCAGCAAATATTACGTTACTTGGGCGGAGGCAATGATCAACTCGTGACCGCCATGTTTTCTCCGCCACCGGAGCTTCAAGAATTTCAGAGCCTCGGCGACCTTGTGACGCGGGCTATGAAGCCGGAGAATGTATGGACTGATTTTAGCGGTTTAGGACTTGGGCAGGAAACGGCCATTGGAAGCAATTACAGAATTTCCAGAACTGCCAGCAGCCCGCCGGCGGTAGCCGACGGGAAAAGGAAAGAAGCCTCTCCGCCGGAAAACTTAAAGAGGAGGAAGGCTGAGAAGAAACAGAGCACAACGGAACAGAAGAAAGAATCATCGTCTGCTACCTCAGACGACAAAAAGCCTGACTACATTCATGTCAGAGCTCGCCGTGGCCAAGCCACTGACAGCCATAGCTTAGCTGAAAGGGTGAGTGATTTATATTCATATTCTGCTAATTTAGTTCTTTTGATTTAGTTTTGTGCTTAATTTAGTTCTGGACTTCAACCTAATTCAGTTCTCGACTGTTAAAATATAGAAAAATCACTAGTCGATGACTAAATGCGGTAAAATTACTCAGTTATCTTTAACAGATGACTCAATTAAGCATAAAAAGTTGTTTAGGACTAAATTGAGAAAAATCATTATAGTTCAGAAAACTAATGTTGCAAATATAATTTGAACAGGTAAGGAGGGAAAAGATCAGTGAAAGAATGAAATACCTGCAAGATCTTGTACCAGGGTGCAATAAGATCACAGGGAAAGCTGGAATGCTTGATGAAATAATCAACTATGTCCAATCTCTTCAACGACAAGTAGAGGTTAAAAGTTAAAACCTTTTTAATCTTGAGTTTCAACTGTATATAGTATATATGTTTTGAATACTAAAACTTTTGTTTTCGTCCCGACAGTTCTTATCCATGAAACTGGCTACTGTTAATCCAACAATTGATTTCAACATTGACAGTTTCTACACAAAAGAGGTATCGAATCAAATCCAAATCACATTCATTAGATTAAAGTTCAAAAGACCATAAATATATGTTTTGGTTAACTGTGATCTCTTGCTTTTTTGTCTCCAGGTTTATGAAGTGAGTGGATCTAATTATCCTGCAGAAATGTTGAATTCATTGCAGCAATGTTCTGGAATGGAGAATGGTGTGAACCCTTCGGCTATGGCGCTTCGGAGAACCATTAGTGCTCCCATATCACTGCTAGACACCACTGCAAATGTATTTAATTATTTCCCCCATTATACTCTTTACTATATATATAACCTGTATGTATGTTTACCACATTTTCTTACAAGCTTGTAATTATATTCATGAAACAGCAACTCCAGGCATCTTCAACTTGGGATGCAGAGATACAGAACTTGTATGCAATGGAGTTCCAACAAGGAAGATCAACAACATCCTTTCTTTCACAGCCATTTATGGGTAAGCCTGTTTTCCCAGAATTCTGTTTTATGTTCTCTGTATAAAAGAAGAATATGATTAATCTATTCAAAATGCTAAAATTCAAAAAGCTACTCCAAGCAACTGTTTCAAAAAAAGAAATTATACCAAATAGCTATCAGCTAATAGCTAATTTACCAAACATTTTTCTACAATCAGCTAAATGTTATCAACTAGTTATACCTTCTAATTAACAAAATCAGCTAAAATCAGCTAACAGCTATCAGCTATCAACTAACAGTCATTTACCAAACAGGGCCAAAGTGACTTTCCAAGACCAAATAACCATCAAGTAATGTGCATGCATTATTGAGATTTAAGTGAAAGAAAGATGACCCTACAAAGAACTTTGAAAACTAGTTATTATACTCCAAAAGTAAAATGTCAATGAAATTCTCCCAGAAGCTCTTAAACTAAGTAGCTTTTGGCTATATATTTTGCAGGTTTCATAGAAGGTGGCAACACAAGGATGGCAATCTGAACTGAAATTATAGATCAGATCATACAATTTCTTGAATAATGCTCTTCAAAAGTTACCAATCCCCCCCATTGTTTTTCTTCCCAAGTACATACCATATGTATTTGTATGTATACAGGCAGTGTAGAAATGCCATAGTGGTAATATTGCTATCAATTTGTCCCTTTCTGCTATGTCTCATCAATCAACTGAGTTCCTGTAACGTACTGAAATTTAGTACGTGAATGCCAATTATTCTATTAATTACATATTCACTATTCTTGCTGCAAGAATATCGTCAATCAATGACGTATCATATATCCCAAACGATGTTAATCTACAGAATCATCAAATTATTGGTGGGAGAAAGGGTAGAGAGAGCACAAACTCATGAATATAGATGGCTGCATTGGTTTAAAACTGAAGCATTAAGAAATGGTCCTCTTGTGTACTATGTAGATAGGGTATGAATGATAATTGAAGGGTCAAATTGGCAGAAATTGCTATTCAAATGACAAGATTGAGAAGGACAGGTTTAGGCATTTCAAAGAATTGAAGGACAGAGGACAGCAACCAACCAGTGAGCAGAAATGGCTGCTTTTTAGGACAGATTGGGACGTGTGGATCAAGACCCTAATAACAGACAATGTAAAAGTGTTTCAGAACAAAAAGTGATGTTGATAGCCACATTAGTAGCTCGGTTAGTTTCTGGGTAGCAGATTGTGAGCAAAGACAATGGATCGTGGCCTGACAGTCGCAATGTGAGAGTTTTGTTTTATTCTCTTGTGGGGTGGTTCATTGTGGGCTCCAAACACTGGTCCTTCCAGACATTGTGGGGTCCACAATCTTCTCGCGCTGGGGTGTGGGACTCAGCCCCGGGGGCGATAGATATCCCTTGTGACTATAATACCAGAAAGTGAAGCCTATCATCCATCAACAAAGAACAGCCAACACTACTTGCCTATGCTTTTCACCATTATTTCCATGTTTGGGACCTCAACAAGGTTTTGTAAACTTCAATTTCAAGCCAGAGGGGAAAAGAGGGCCCACCATATCCATAGAACAAGTGATTCTCCTACCCAGAAATGGATGGTGAAAGATACTACTTCTGCCTTGAAATCAATTGTAAATTGAATTCAGATCATTATCAACTCCACAGAGTAAAAGATTATACATAAGCACAACAAGAAGAACATCACACACTATCATTATACTATTTTCCCCTGTGCATTACAGAGACACTGAACTGTATATAGGTATACAAGAATGATATGAATCAAAGCATGATTACTCAATGAAAAAGTGGTAAGAAACTTCAAAACAGGATGGCAAGAAGGAAAACAAGGAAGATGGCAAGGATAATAACCCCAACCCAACAGAGGAGAGTCCTCCTCTTCTTCTTCATCTGCTTAGCTCGATTCAATTCCTCCACCCCATCCTTCACATAAGCCCCGGCATTCACCACATTCTGCTCTATATTGTTCATTTGCTCACCTTGGGTCTCCACCATTACAGCCATGTCAAGAAACACCTGGTGAAGCTCTGCAAGGCTTTTCTGAATCTCCTTCACTCCCTTGTTCCTTTCTTCATTCTCCTTCGCCATTTCCCCCGCCTTTCCTTCAAAAACCCTCTCCTTCCCCCCTTCCATCATTTTCTCGATGGTTTCCTCGGATGGTTGGGTCCCCGTGGCAGTATAGTAGCTCCGCTTTAAGCCTTCTTTGTGCTCCGCCACGATTTTCCCTCTCAGGCACTGGAAATCGTTCATCAAATCCCTCAGTTTCTGTCTTAGGCCGTTCGTCACCGACATCCTTGTCCGATCGATCGGGGTTCCTTCTTTGTATAAACTTCGATTCGAGAGATTTGATTTGTCGAGGAGTTCCAGTTTTGTCTTGATGATTTTGGCCTTTCGGAGAACAGTGACCATGTCAGAGTTAGTCCTGTCCCTGAGGCCATGGAGAATCTTGGCACTCTGGGCAGACTTGGTTTCTTCGTTGAGGTCGTGAAGATCAAGAAGGAGATTAGAGATCTCTTCCATGTCGGCCTTGATAGCGCCCACATCTTCAAAGAACTTGGACAGGTTCTTTTCATCACTCGGGTCGAGTTGACCCATCTCGATGTCCAGAACGGGCCCGGATTCAAGATCCTTCATCGCCTGCTTCTTCAGCTCCACGTAACTCATAAACGATTTTGTCATCAAATCGTTCATCTTCGCTCCGATTCTGCAAAACCCAGAAACCAACACGCATAAAAATTCACTCAAAGTATGGGCATCTTCATCTTGAGAATGAATAAGCAAGAAAATGACCGATAAAAGGAATTTAATAAAGAAAATGAAGAGATGATTAGTAAAGAAACGGAAAGGGAAGAGAGAGAACCTGGAAGATTAAAGATCTGTTCTTCTGAGTGGAGAATACAGAGAGAGAGAGAGAGAGAGAGAGAGAGAGAGCAGAGGAGAGTTAAAAGAGAGAGTAGTGAGGGGACGGCAATGGAGGGAGGAGTAGTCCTACTTTTATTGAGTTTGTTTTATTTTCAAATTCAAATGGGAAAAAGTGACGTTATATTCAGAGAGCCGTTACATTTTTCAATCCAATTGTTATCCGACACAAATCGCAACTGCTAGGTTTAATTAATTAATTACCAAACGACTGAACGAGTGGGGTGTGGATTATAGCTTGTAACAAAGATTATAGAGTGTTTGAATAAAGATTAAATAGGGTATGGAAGTCTACAAATTGTTGTGTAAAAGTATTTAATTACTTGCCATTTTTCTCCCTTTTGTACGTAATAGTAATAATAGAGTAAGTTAAGTGTTACGAAGTAATATGTTGTATGTAAGTAACAAAATGTCCACGTGTATCCAAAAAAAAAAAAAAAAACATAATGTAGAGGCTATAAATTGGGAATATTAATATTATTAATTATTGTAGTATTATAAGTACAATTTCAAGTAATAATCGAGTTTGGAAGTCTTTGACAAGGTTGGAACATGTACAAGGTTTTTAAATATCATATCCTCCCACAAGCTGGTGGAAGGTAGTATTTATAGACTTGGAAAAAGGGACGTGTGTTGGAGACAGACTCACAAGGTTGGCATGGCAAACATGCATCGGCAAATCAAGTTAGTCGTGACACATGTTAGACAGTGATGTGACCCCCAAGACGACAGTGACATATGTGACATTCATGCGGTCGAAAACAAACCCTAGAGGTCAGCTTCTCGATGTAGTAGGTACAAGACAACAGTGTCATGCGGTCAAACACAAACCCTAGAGGTCGGCTTCTCGATGTAGTAGGTTAGACAAGTTCTAGAAGAAGAAGTCATTCAGCTCGTTTATATTATATACGGTATGTACATATGCTCCGCATGGCATTAACAATTGTTTATATATTTACAAGTCATACATGTACAAAGAAACTGATTTTATAAATGGGTAATTTAAAACATTCATTGTTACTTCATTGCTTTCCTAAGTACATAGGTTTTCAAAACATAATCTCCTGATTGAAATTCCTTAACTTGCTGTAACCCATAAAATAAAATCATAAAATAAAATTAGATTCGAAATAAAACCCGGGCATCATATTAATTGAATTTTGAAAATGTGCATATGATTGAATAGAATGGAAAGTTTTTAGTATTATGAATTACTATAACAAGTTGAATTACATAACCTCAATCTTGAACAAAGTATAAACTTGTTCTTTTGGGGAAAACAAAAATATTTTGGCCTAGCACTGTCCTGCCCAGTCCAGTCCCTTGCAGGTCATGCCTGAAGAATCCATAGAACCAGGCGACTAGTCAATTTGCTGTGGCAGTGAGTCATAGGGGATCATCATTTCCGACTATTTGACTTGCTTCCCTTGTTGTTACCCTTTGCCTTCATAGATCCTTTTCCTTTCTGTTTTCCATTCTTCCCTTTACCCTTCTTCTTGCTCATTCCATTGTTTCTAGCATCCTTTTTCATTCGTCGATCAACAAGTACTTTACCTTTGCCAGCCCTGACTTGAACCCCCTTCTTTGCCACTACGTATTCCTTTTCTGGTTTTTTGGGACCAACCTTGTTGTAGAGTTTGTCGATCATTTTCGTCTTTGAACGATCAGAAATATCGGCCAGGTCTGATATTGAGTTGGCTTTCTTGCGTATCTTCTCTAGTTGTCTATGGGCAGCCCTCTTCTTTCGGGCTTTGGCTTCCGCCACCTTCTTTGCAGGCCGGGCATCTATTTCTTTAAATTGAGCCCTCATTGCAGCAACTTCCTCTTTAGTTATAGGCTTAATAGGCTGGCGATGCTTCTTTTCTTCATCAGCGAACCACTTTGGCAGCCCTACATCGTGAAACATATATTTGTTGTAAGCATCATCAAGCATCTCCTCTCGCTGCTTTTTTGTTAGCATCTTCTTTGCATAAGCAAGTATTTCAGCCTTATTCTCAATGTCATCTTCATCTGAATCATCTGATGAAGATGAGTCACTTGAATCTGTAGGTGGAGCTGGGACTATTTCAAAGTCTTCAGCCGCCTCACTGGAAGGGGGGACTTGAAGAACTGAACTTTTAGCCTTTCTGGTCACACCAATGGTTTGTTTCTCGGATGTATCTTTTCCCATCTGCCGCGACTTTTTGACACTTTCCCCTGGTTCATCTATTTGCATTTCATCTTCACTATCATACTTGTCCAAAATATCCTGCTCATCTGGTTCAGCAAAAACATCTTGATTGAACCACTGTGCTGCAATCTCCTCCTGAGTAGGTGCATCCTCAAGCGGTACCACTAGAGGATTCAATTCATGTTCTCTCTGATCGTTGTCCGTGTCTTGATCAGAATGAACCATAGGATCATCATTATCACCCTGATAAACAACAAAGAAACAGCTCCATCATGGCAAATAAACTATGAAAGCAGCTTTAGTGCAGAATGATTCATATTTATACATAAAGAAACTTATCCAATTCCAGGACCATGGACAAGAATATATATTTCAGGTATTATTTTCCATGGAGACTTAAAACTCGTAGTACCTCCAAGAGTTCATCATCCTTCTCATAAGCTCGTTTGGTTCGCTTTCTTTGTTTAGTTTTCCCTTCCACTCTAGCCACATAGCTCTCATATGCATCATCAAGCAGCTCTTCCACTCGCTCGTCATATCTAAGAATAGAGCAAATGATTCAGTAATGTTAGCATACAAACAGAATAATCATACTTAGAACTGGACACCTAGTAAAGAAGCAGAAATACCGTTTACGCTCTTCTTCCGAGTCCACATCACTAGATGTATCCTCTTTGGCCTCCTCATCACTTTCACTATCTTCACTATTTCCTTCACTAGGTTCAAGATATTCATCATCATTATCAACGGCTACTAGATCTTTCTTGCCCTGCATATCATCCATAGCATATTATACCAAATATAAAGCTCAACACAACATGATCTCATGGCATATAGAAATAAAGTCTCACTGATAAGTTCTCACATCTTTATTACGGAGTAGATATTTGATGAATAATCAAGATCTCACTAGTTAGCGAAGAGACCACACATTTCAGAAACAGATGCATCATTTTCATGGGAAACTAAGAAATGACTGCATTTCCACACAATAAGCAAAAATGATTCAGAAAGAAACCTTGATAGAAGATAGAGAAAACAAGTCTTGATCACCATATTCATCCCCTGTAACATCTACTTGCACACCCAGTGCCTTCCGAGCTTTTTCCTGAAATTCCAATGAAGTATGAAAATACATATCATTAGAAAATTATACCAATATTTAAAGCAATAGAATAAAGCATGAAGTGAGTTCCCGTTCATTTTCAAGCCAACTCAAGGTTATATTTTACTAGCAAACACTAGCAAAGCAATCCCTTTCTACATCCTATAACACAATGATCAAATAAGTAGAAACATGCACTCAGCCAAATTCTAGAAACCAAGCCTCCACATAGAAGAAAGACAGTATCCATGCATTTTCTAATAGGCTTCTGCCTCTGTCCAGGTTAGTCCATGGTAAATAGGTTTTAATCAATAAGAACTGTCACTGCAACTACAACTCTACAAGGGTGTCAAACAGCCATTATCCTATATAATAACTAACACAGCATACTAATCATTTCTCACCAAAATCTCAGATTTCACTATTTCCAGCCAAAAGATCGGTCAAATGAATACTACAAAGACACACGTGAATCATTGATTTGGAATCAACTAAAAGATGATTAAAATATAGCAGTTTGATGACTTGCTCACTGACAGCAGTTGTCAGCATTTGCCTTATATGACATATTACTAGACATCTAATTAATCACCTATAAAAATAATTGCATCTATTTATTGGGACAAAAGTATAAATTCTAAGCATGAGCAGCAAACCTTAGCTTGCCGTTTTGCTTGAAGCCTTTTCTCCTTTTTCTTCTTCCTCTCAATTGCAAATGTCAGTTCCTCCATTTCATTAAGAATTTTTTCATCTTCATCTTCCTTGCTCTCAGGTTCAACGGGTATGGATGGGGTAATACTTTTCTCTGAAGGAGACAATGCTTTTCTTATATGCATACGCCATCTACAAGGCAACACAATAACTTATCTTATAATATTCTGGACAGAAAAATGCACTAGGTCTAAAGATAAATTGGCACCAAGCAGTATGTTTTCAAGCATATCAAAATTAGATACATCAACATATTTTTGCACCTATACAAATGTCATACTAAGAATGCTTGCATGTTCCTTACTTTAAGATATGCTTGAAGTCTTGCTTCCCCAAAATTCGCAGATCATCACATAGGGCCTTAACCTGTTGATCATTATCCAAAAACAATGTCAGTTGGGCTAGTCAGAAGACAACTAGGGGTACTGAATGCAATTAAGGGTGATTTAACTTAACAGCATATAGGATCAGTGTATAAAAAAGTGTATACCTCCTCAGTTGTCAGAGTATGCTCTCTTATAGGCAAACAAGCAGAATCATCAAAGGATATGGAAGTAACTGAACCAAGGATGTCAAGAGGAGCTTCAGACCAAATGAAATCGACAGCAGAGCACACCTTCCTCAAAATTGAAACACCATCTTCGTACCTGCAATACTATACCTAGTTAGCAAGAATACACCTTATGTGTGTGCGTGTGTGTTGCATGGAGATAGCTGCAACATGTCACCACTAGTAAGAGAGAATAACATGCATGCCTTAACTAAGGAAAACTGAAGTAGATGGAAACATCTAAAAAGACACTATATTTCTACTTGAGCACTAGAAATCATGTTGACAGGTGTTAAGTCACCCAATATATGAAATTGAGTTTTTTTTCATGGGGTGCAATAATTAAAAATAAATAAATAAGCCTCTACAGGGACAGCAAATGGGATCTACCCATCTCGGTGTCTCTTTTGCTTTGTCACTCCGAGTACATCAATCACCTACGTACAAAGAAATACCTCAAATTAGGCATTTGCAAGCATATATCTACTTACAACAT